AGCAGAGGCAATACACAATACAGAGAGCAATATTTGAAATATCCAGTTCATTATTCTTGAGCTATCTGCGTAGAAATCTTCAAAGTCCTTAGAAGAGAAATTTGTTTTCTCTAAATCTTTTCTCTACTGTGTGTAGAAAGAGGGTTAAGTGTAGCTGTGTGCAAAACACTAACCTGTTGAGTGTAGCTGTGTGCGAGACACTCGTGAGTGTAGCTGTGTGCAAAACACTCGTGGTTGCTAAGTGTAGCTGTGTGCAAGACACTTAGTTGGCGTAGGAGTATAGCTGTGTGCGAAGTACTCGTGGAGGAGTGTAGCTGTGTGCGAGACACTCGGGGTTGGGTGTAGCTGTGTGCAAAACACTCGAAGAAGTGCCTGTGTAGCACTTATTCACTATTGTAACTGTGTGTGGAAAATAGTGAATTTTCTCCTAGACGTGAAAGGAGAAAAGTGGAGTAGGGGGATTACGCCACCTCCGAACCACTCTAAATTGCCTCTCTCATTTACTTACTGCTCTCATTTATTATTGCATTATGATTATGAACTAACACATTTAATTGTTACTATTCAATATCTGCATTTGTTATTACTTACGAATGCATGCAAGATTGGCAATCATTTTATTTATATTATTTAATCTTGCATATTGCTTTGGACAAATTCATCTTACACTATTTATTTTGCTTCTCTGATCTCTAGTTGGATTTGTATATTTATTCGTGCGCATGCAAAGAGTTGACTATTAAAATTCATATTCCATAATGCTTAGCACATTCCACACGTGAACTTGCATATCAAAACAATTAATGTTTGCATGGTTTATTGTACTAATCCTTTTCGTATAAGCATTGCCTAATTTCATCTGGGTTTACTATCTATCACGTCCGCATGCGAGCCAAAATTTGTATACATATCACTTGATTTATTTCAAGCATATCCATCATATTGCATGTGATATATCTCTCAGTTTTGACGTAACACTTTACTGTTGAATTATTCCGCTGTGCACCCAAGTTGAACATCTTGTTATTTATTTGTGACTTGGAGTTGAAATTATCAAAGTGTTATTAATTGTGAAAAAGTTTAGAAAGTCTATTCACCCCCCTCTAGACTTTCTACCACCCTATCGGGACCAACAGAATTCATAAGCTTCTTGTTGCTTTTCCAACCATTGATCATGTGCTTCTTGCCGCCTATTGCAACCATGTATATAATCATTCAAGGAGTCCTCCAAAGATGGTTTTTCAAGTTGGGGTGGAGTTGATTGAAAATTATTTTGATCATTACCCCAATAAAAATTAGGATAGTTTGACTGAAAATCATTTTGATTATTCTAAGAAAAATTCGAGTGATTTTCCCAACCCGAATTATAAGAATTATAAAACGTGTCATGCACAGGCCTTTGATTAGAAACATTAATTGCATTTGCCTGTACAAAATCATCATTATAAAAATTATTTTGGTTTGATAAAAAAGAGTACATATTAAAATGTAAAATTTTTCAAATTTTGGTTTTTTTTTTTTTTTTTTGTGTGATTGAGAATGAAAATAGAATGGACCAATGAATTAAATAAATAAGCAAGCTTAAAAAGAAAAAAAAAACAAACGAAATAATAAGAAAGGGATAGCATTAAAGAATCAAGCAGTTTAAGAAATGAGAAAATTAAATAAAAAGAATAGCAAGAATTGATACAGTACAATTTAATAACAAGAAAATAATAAACTTGATAATTTAAAGAATTTATGGCAGGAAAAATAAGTGAAGGAAATAAAGACTATGGTTTTTAAATGGACGAATGACTTAAATAAAATGCAATATTAAAAATGAAGAAGAAGACAATAATGAAAGGATAGCGGAAAAAATCAAGCAATTAAGGAAAGAAAAAGAACACAGCAAATTAAATGGCAAAATAAACAATTCCCCGGCAACGGCGCCAAAAATTGATGGATAATTTTTGATAGTCCTTGCAAATGCACGAGTCACTATAGCAATAGTGTGCAATAGCAAGGGTCGATCCACAGGGAATTGATAGTATGCAATTTAATTACTTGAAATTACGAAATAATATAATTGGATGAAAAGTTCTAAAGTACTCAAAGTGCAATAAGCTTAATAGTAAAACTAGACCAAATGCTATGTAGAAAATCAAGAAAAGAAATAAACTATTAAAAATCAGGTGAATAAAATTGCGACAGCTAATAGGAAAAATGAAGCTCTAAGAACATGAATAAAATCGGCCAGAGTTCAACACAATAATCTAATTGTGAAATCAAAGCATAAAACTTAATTTGTTGATAACATAAGAATCAAATTACTGCAAAATCAATACATTAGCAATGCATTTTAAATTCAATAATTGAAAGCAAATAAGATTGACATCACAAACATAAATTTTGGAAATTGAAACTATTGGCAAACAAATTAAACATGCTAACCAACAAGTCCCCACGTTGCAGTGTTCAGAATTTGGTAATTGAAGAAGTAAACAAAGAAGTTGCTACGTAATTATGAGAAGAAAAGCAAAACCAGGAAGATGCCAAAATATAATTTCGCTGCTGCCAAACTGGAGAAACCGCTTGGAGATTAAATTGTTGTCGAAAAGAGAATTTTAGCCGCACCAACGCCGCTGAACGGAACCAGAAATTGCAAACCCACCGGAATTACTTCGGGGTGATATTGATGATCCTTCTTCTTCACACAAGCCTTCCATTTATACTGCTTCCTTAACTGAACTCCACCGTAATTTTTGTTCTGAATCTCTGGCCATAGCCGATGAAGAACCTCTTCTCTCGCAGTGTTCGGTTGAATTGCCGCACAAAGAGCTTCGACCGAGACTCAAAAGTAATCATTCTTTTAACTTAAATAAATTAGAATTCAATTATAATTAGTCTATGTTTATTAAAACTCCTATTATACTACTAAGACTATTATTATTATTATTATTAAATTAGGACCAAGGAATTATTAGACTGACAAATTTTAATAACAAAATTAATTTAATAATAAAAACAACCCCAAAAATTAACAATATTTATAAAAAACTACTTATAGAAATAATAAATAAAAATAGATATAAAATTAATCAATTATTATAAATTAATTATAAAAAGATTATTTGAAATAACACTAAACTAATGTTTATCAGTATATTAGTGACCAAGGAGGACAACTCATTGAGATGATAACTGCTAATACTATTTATTGGTACAATGAGAGAGTAGAACATGCAAGGAAACAATCCAAGAATGAAATACGACAAGCTTGGTGACTACGAAATGGATTTTGTCGCAATTCCATCACAAAATGCGATTCGCGACGGAATTTTGTGTTTTCGTGACGGAATTCTTCTGTTGTGAATAGCAATTTTTCTTGTAGGCTCTGTTTGGCAGAGCTTATTTAGGAGCTTATAGCTTATTTTAAGCTACTAATAAGCTTTAAGCTCTGTTTGGTAATGTTCCAAAAATAAGCCCATAGCTTAAAATAAGAGCTTATTTTGGAACGCTGCCTTAGATAGTGTTTCAAAATAAGTTAGGAGCTTCTTAACTCTTTTTTTTCATATTTGCCCTTATTATTTTAAAGTAATGACATTTTTTACCCTTCTGAATTAAAACCCTTTCTCTTCCCCTATTGTCACATTTCACGACAATCCTTTCATCTTCATTATATTCGCATAAGCCTCGTCCATCCCCCATTTGCATTCCGCAGAAGGTTCGCCATCCCCCATTTGCATTCCGCAGAAGCATCGCCATCCCCCATTTGCCCTCCTCCGCAGAAGCATCATCCATTGCACTCCACAGTTCATAGCAGCAGTCCGCAGGTATGTATATGTTATTATGTTGTACGTAGTTCTTGTATATATTTTGTTGTATTGCATCTTGCATATCCTCAGGCATGTATTATGTTATTTGGTTGTATTACTTGTATATATTTTGTTGTATTGCATCTCCGATATGAGAAAGATATTACCAATGATCCTAATGATTTTGTCTCTGCAATTTAGTTTCTGTGTTCTGCAATGGATAGCTTTGTTGTATATGTGGCTACCGTTGTAAGTTTAATTTCTTAAGTAGATAGAAAAGTAATTAGCAAAATGATTTGATTTGCAGTGAATTGAAACATAATGAATTATAGTGTTACTCTTCCAATTTTTTAGTAGAGATTTTATCAAGTTACCAGAAACGTTGATATAAATGAACTATTGTTTGTGATCATTTAGAACAAAAGCTTAAACCTCTGTGATACATTCCAATTTGTAACTCAAGTTCATTTTGGTCTTCTGGAAACCTACAAGTATTTATGCTTTAAAAAATTGTTCTACTGGCTTATAGAAAGAGTTTTTTTCCACCTTTTTTTTTTGTTTTGATCGGTAAAGTGTCAAAAATTAATTCTTTGTGGATGCCTATATGGAGCTTAATCATGGTTGGTTTGTCAAAAATTATGTTCTCTCTGCAACTCCTATTAGCATTACTGCCAATACTACTTGATATGTTTTAACTACTACAACTCATATGTTTTTACTACTTAAACTTATATAAATGAATACTATTATAGATGATTCTTGGTTCATAAATGAGTACAAGTATAATTATGAGTCCCAAGTTTCAAATTATGCTTAATCTTAATTTCTGGTGCATGCTTTGTTAAATTATTTGAATTTAATTGCCAATTACAATGTTCATTTTGCACATTCATTTTGATTTGTTTAGGGTCATTAAATTGCAACTTTAGCTTATTACTAGTAGTTGCACCCGTGCGGTGCACGGCAATATGTATACATAATTATCAAAAAAATAAATGGATAGCGAAGTAAATGAAAGTTTATTAAACATTATTGAATACTTCCTTGTATACGACATTTGTAGTGGTTTTTTTTTTATTTTACATTTTCATCCCAAATAAGAATTTTTAATCCCTTATGATTACTCACTCTTGACATTGCCACATACAATTGACCATGATTAAAAACCGGTCTCTTCAAAAACAAACCCACGTTGGATAGTGTCTAGCCTTGGCTTTTATTTATTGTCATTGCATATGACAACATTAGTGGAAATTGCTTCCTTTGGAACTTAAAAGGCAATCTTGGATCAGAAGGTGTTAAGGACATTCTTGGAATTAAGACCTTTGTACCGGCACTTGCACCACATAGTATTTGAGCTTCTAAAACATGATCTGCCAACTTTGAAATTATCATTCTTGTGCCATTGCACAACCCCAATGAGTGATCAATATTCCTCAGAAGCATAACTGGAGAGCCAACTTTTAGAGTCAATGAGTGATTTGGAACTCCTGAACACCTTAATCCATTTAAAAATTCTGGAGTGTGCAAATCAGCAAGCATGTCAACATTTGAATCAGATTTACAGACCGAATCACAACTGGGATACGTCCTTCCTTCGGTATTATTGTAGTCATTCATGTATTCATTTACTGCATCCACAATATCCAATGTTGGTGCCAAAATAGCACGATCTTTTAGGTATTCAATATCACTATGACCTCTGCGAAACATAGGGAATATGCTATCAACAATTGTAGAAATTGGATCCTCAACACAAGTTAGCACAAATTCTTCAGGAATATTTATCTCACATTCTCCATGCAAAGACTCACCAATTGTTCCATCACCTATATTAGCAATCCACTTTGCAAATTTTTCAATCTCTTGAACTTCAGTTTCTGATTGCAATGACCTTAGCCTGAGATTCTTTGTTAGCTTAAATACTTTACAGCTTCTCCAAAGATATGATGCATTGATACTTGCTCCAACAATATCTTTCCTGGTGCCCTTTGGAATGACTGGTAGAATCTGTCTGAAATCTCCACCTAACACCACGGTTTTGCCACCAAAAGTCATATCCAAGGTATTTGGATTTTTGACACGCATGATATCTCTCATACTACGGTCTAAAGCTTCAAAGCAAAACTTATGCATCATCGGTGCCTCATCCCAAATGATCAACTTACATTACATTATCAATTGTGCCAAATGACTGCTTTGGCTGATGTTGCAGGTTGAATCTTCATTAACAGCAATTGGTATTGAAAATCTCGAATGCGCAATTCTACCTCCTGGTAATAGAAGAGATGCTATACCACTTGATGCCACATTTAAAACTATATCACCCTTTGACCTTAAAGCAGACGACAATGCTCTCCATAAGAATATTTTTCCCGTTCCACCGTATCCATAAACAAAAAACAACCCTCCCAGATTGTTCTCAGCATCTTGCAAAACATTTCCATATATAGCCCTTTGCTCTTCGGTGAGTTGCTACACCAATTTTTCATTCTCTTCCTTCATGACATTAATATCATATGCTAATTCCTCTTGTATCAAACGATTGGTGGTTCTAGCATGAATCTCTAAATCCGGTATTGGCATCAACGGAAAGTCTTTCAAACTCTTTCCGATAGCAGAAAGCATTATTTCTATCTCCCGAAGTGCAAAATTCTTTTTCTCATCTTAAGATAAAATCAAATCTGTGATAATATAATCAATCGCATATTTTAAGTATGTGTATACAATTAATCTGTACAAAATGAAATTACAAATAGAAAATTTTACCTGTAATCCCCAATTGAGCTCTAATTTTGAATTGTGCATCCTCAGCCAAATAGTGCCACGCAGCTTCCCACACAACTTCAGGTTTTGCCATTGAATTTGACATTAATAGTGTGACAAACAATCTTCTCAAATTAACACCGGTCGCCCATTGACTTGCTTCTTCTATAGCATGAACATATTCCCTGTCGTCGTCTACTAATCCCCTGGTAGAACACGCATCCCTAAAAGAATCATATTGCACACCATCTACTTTTTTTATGTCCAAAAAACTCGTGGGCCCTTTTACTTTATTCAAAAGACATCTCAAATAAAATATCTTCCCTGTACCAGGTGGCACATAGAAAACTCTACCTATTGCAAATCCTCTTTTCCTTGGTTGTCATTTCCTAACATCTTTCTTCCATACAAATTTAGTTGGCATTTCGACATATGTAAGTTGTTTTGCATCTGGGTAGGTTTTATTTGCCTCAAACCATTCTAAGAACATGCTTTGTAAGATTGTTGGACGACTTAGTATGTTATCTACTGGATCATCATCTGCGAATACAACACTTTGTTGATTGGACAAGTGAAAGCTTAATCGCTCAACAGCTGGTGCCCTTAACTGTATATCAAATCCAAACAATCGCCAAACTGCTTCACACGGAGAGATATACTGACAATCATAGAACATATTGATTTCATCAATAACTTTTGGACTTTCGTCATCGGCGTTGGATTTGTAAAACTCTGTTGTAACCCTGTCACGGCCCTTGTTTACGTACTTGAACAAATACTTGATTGAACGGGACTGATTACACCATTCCACATTAATATGAGCCCTATACTTTAGTAACAAATGTCTATTGTGTGGTACTACGTACCTATTATCCAACTGAATACCATTGCGCATGACAGACCTGCCATTGTCTCGTCTGCGATATATAGGATAACCATCCTCGTCCACAGTTGATGTATGTTGGTCCCGAAAGGGTGGCGAGAAGTCTAGAGGGGGGGGTGAATAGACTTCTATAACTTTTTAAACTTTCTTCGAAAACACACAAGGCAAATAACACTTTGGTAATTTCAACTCTAAGTAATAAGCATTAACAAGATAAGCAACTTAGAGCGTGCAGCGGAATAAGTAGCGGTAAAGTGTTATGCTTATAAGTGCGGTGCTCAAAAAGATATTCTAAACATGCAACACGTTAGAAACACTTGATATGGTTCAAGGATGATGTACGTAAAGTTTGGCTTGCATGCAAACGTGGGAACTATCAAACCCAGATAGATAAAGATATGCGATAAATCGTAATCGGGTTAGTTCGCAGTTAGAATAAGCATGCACAAAATATATGAGCAGTAAGTAAATAGAGAGGGAGATTTATAGTGGTTCAAAGGTGGTGTAATCCTCCTAGTCCACTCTTCTCCTTTCACTTCAAGGAGGAAATTCACTATTCTTCGATCACCCAGATACAATAGTGAATAAGTGCCCAACGACACTTCTCCGAGTGCTTCGCACAAAGCTACACTCCTCCAAGGTTTTTCGCAAGCTCCTCTTGTTACTCCGCCTCCCCGAGTACTTCGCACCAAGCTGTACTCCTACACCACGAGAACTACGCACAAAGCTACGTCCTCCAAGGGTTTTCACAAGCTCCTCTTGTTACTCTGCCCTTCGCCACGAGTGCTACGCACAAAGCTACACTCAACCAGGGTTTTTCACTCTCTCTAGTTACTCCGCCCTCTTTCTACACTCAGTAGAGAATATTACAAAGAAATAAAATTTCTCTCTCACTCAGACTTGAATTTTATCGTGTATAGCTCAATATATTGCTTCTTGGCTGATATAAATATTGCTTGCTTTTCTCTTGCTTGTATATCTCAATTTTCAGCCGTATTCAAGTCGTGTTTGTCTTCAAGTCTGCTTGGGCATTTTATAGCCAAAGAAAGCTATTTGCCCGTTGATCAACTTTCGATCTTGATCGTCCATTTTGAATTGTAGTTGATCTGATAATTTTGTCAACTTGATCTGCAATTGTAGGTAGATGTCATTTCTCCTTTTTGTCAGATGATTTGAATAAATTGCCCGTTGCCGTGTCTTGAATTTTGTAGCCTCCAAAATTTGAATAAGTTCGGCGCGGCGTGCTTGATTTTCTTCTCCTTCATAAATGCTCTGACATGTCAAGTTGATCAAATAATTTAACTGCTGATTCTTGCTTGAGTATAAAATTATTTCTCCGCAAATCAGCCTTCTTCGAGCGTCTCCGGTTCCACCGTAAAAACTTGATGTTCAGATGAAAATATATATCAGATATTTTCTCCTTCATGTTCCTTGTAAAATATTATACTGGAACTTCTGTAAAAACTCCATTGTTGTTCATGGTGAGATGCTCTGTTTCGAATTGCAAGCTTAGTCCACCATACTTGGTATGTTTCTCCATATGGTGCATGGCTTCTGTGAGACTTGTGCATTTTCCTTAGCTAGTCTCCATTAGCTAGTCTCTCCTTGGCTAGTCTCCATTCTAGCTAGTCTCTCTTTAGCTAGTCTCTATTTTAGCTAGTCTCCATACAGTTTTGTATACTTTGAGCTAGTCTCTCATACTTCTCCAAGCTAGTCTCCCATACGATTATACGGTCCAAGCTAGTCTCCCATACGGTCTTCGTATACATTGAGCTAGTCTATCATATGGTTATACAGTCCAAGCTAGTCTCCCATATGGTCTTCGTATACATTGAGCTAGTCTCTCATACGGTTATACAGTCCAAGCTAGTCTCCCATACAGTGAAGCTAGTCTCTCATACGGTGGAGTTAGTCTCTCATACGGTCCAAGCTAGTCTCCAAAGCAAGCTTAAAAATTACTTCACTTGAGATTCGAACTAAAGATCACTTAGCTTAGCTCAAACGCGTTTCTTCCAACTCCTCTAGCATGGTTCTTGGTAACTTCTCCGCAACATAATTATGTTAAGCTATAATCCCGCTTAACATCGAAAATCAAAATATGATTTTCCAGACTTGTACATGGGTTGCATGATATAGGTGCACCATACTCCGTAGACTAGGACTGACTCAAATAGAATAAAATTGGGGACTACTTGATTTTTCAAAAATACATTCGGCTCATCAAAATTTACAATATATTCCTAACAATTTCCCCCTTTTTGATGATGCCGAAACTTATACCCATGTCATTTTGGCTTTGTCAATTTTGAAAAATAATTTCTTTTTAATCAATTTTATTTCGACTAGCCAATTGACGGGTTTAACAAAAATTGTGACTTAGAGATTTTAATTTTGGACAATCCTAAACGTATATTGAGACTATAACGCGGGGTTGCGTATTGATTTTTATCTTTTAATTTTTCTTCCCCCTTTCAATTTTATTTTCTCAATTGTACGCCTCACATGTAATTCCTAAGTCCAATTTTAAAATCTTGTGACATAAACACAAAATAAATAAATTAACTAGGACTTACTTCATATGGTACGAAATAGTTTCATCATGCAATTTCAACCCATTTTAGCTTAGCATATATAGGATGTCAAAACAAATGTGCTAGCTAAAATAAATTATACACCAAAAATTGGTTTGTCAATCAAACTTGTTACCTCCCTTTCAACTTCGCATTGATGAACTCTCTTAGCTTTTTGAAGTCCTTTTCTAGCCCTTTGTGTTGATACGGTGCGGTCACTTGCCCAGTGATGTAGTTGCCATAAGCCTCTCTTATATTATCTCCTTTCAACACTCCGGCTTCATGCCAAAAGATGCATTCGTCAAGTGTTCCGCCATCACTCATTTGGTCACTTCGATGTCCGAACTCCGTTTGAAGCTCTTGCAATTTTTGTATCCTTGTTGCAATTGGCTTCGGCATTTGTGGCATTGGAGCAATCGGCCTTGGTGGCAACACATCATGAGAAGTAGAACTCGAGCTATGACAAGTTCCTCTAAGGTAATCAATCATACTTACACGGCTTGAAGCTCTTGGATTAGTTCAACTATTGGTCCTCTTGGAGCTCTTGGTTGTGTGTACGCATAAGCTTGTGGCACAAAATGACGTGCCAATCCTTCCCCCTTTTCGGCAGCATCTATGAACCGTTGAAAACTCTTGGTGGAAGAATCTTGCTTGTCATGCACTCCCTCTAGAAGATCCATGCGAATACGCGATTGGGTTAGTAAACCTTGCACTTGTTGTTCCAAAAGTTTGAGCCTCGACGTAGTATCGGACCCATGCTTTGCCATTTCATTGAACAACTTCATCACATCTTTCTTCAATTCATCTTTGGCCGTGTCAATTTCGGTTTTTAATAGGCCTTGCCTATTAAACAATTGTTGAGCACGATCCACCATCTCCTTGTGGTAGTCATCAAGCTTTGTATCCATTGTGTCCATCTT